AAAGGGGCTCTGGGAACCAAGAACATCACTGCCAGCTGTTGGGTCCCAGCTCTGTGCCTGCGCCTCTGTAGATGAGGTGCAGCCATCCCCGCACCACAGATGAGGAAACCTTGGCGCACAGATACTAGATGCCCTGCCAACGAGGCTCAGGCAGGGCCGGAGCTCGAGTCAAAATCCGTGACTGCTGGATCCCAAAGCCCAATTTCTTTACATGCTCTTTTATGTGTTAAGGGGACCTCTTTTAATGTGGGGTGGAAAATGAAGAGCAAAAGGAGTAAGAATTGACGAACATCCCTGCCCTCCTGGAGCTTGTCTTCTAGAAGGGAGAGAGAACCAATGAATAAAGACAGCCAGTAACCCAGCATACTGGAGGTCAGGAAGGGAGGGGAAAACCAAACCAGGAAGGGGAGCTTGGTGGGAGGCGAAGCTGAAGTTTGGATTTGATGGTGAGGAAAAGGTCTTGCTGAGAAGTCGGATTTTGAACCCTGGGCAAGTGACTGGAGTGTGTCTGAGGGGCCAGCACATGCCAAAAATATTAACAGTAATAGTCACGGTGCTCAGCTACCCTGGAACATCAGCGGTTCCCAGAGTATCTAGAAAAGCAGGATCAGCATCACCTGGATCTTGTTAGAAATGCAAATTCTCAAGCCCAATCCCAGAACTTCTCGGGGTGAAGCCCATAATGTGTGTGTCTGTGTGTGTGTGTGTATTAAATACATTTTTTGCAGTAATATACATACTGCAAAATTCAATGCTTTAGTGCATCTCCACGAGCCTTCATACGCTCACGCCCCCACACAGCTGGCCTGGTGGGGAAGAGACGGAACAGCCCATCTTTCCCCAAGTTCCCTTCCCACCTCGGCTCTGGGCCCAGGACCTGCCCATCTCCACCCTGTTTTCTGACTTTTTACCTCACAGTTTTTGTTTTCACAAGATCCCCAGTTGATTCTGATTTACACTAGAGTCTAGGAACCACAGCGTTATTCCAGCTCTTCAGCTTTACAAGGCATTTACGATACCCGTTTCACCTAGAGGAAC